CATAGCGTAGCACCTCGGGGTGGGCACAAGGGCTGTGCCTACAACGCCATGCAGCCGCCGCCAGAGACGAGGCGGCAATCAAACGCTAGAAGCATTCACGTAATTCATGTTGCCAGGCTCGCATCAGGGGAGACGGTGTTTCAGCGCGCAAGGCGATGCGTAACTTTGCTGCAGTATCGGCCAGCTCCTCAGAAACGCCACGACGAAGGGAACGCCCTTCAACTGAGCAGTGCAGGCACCACTGGGTTTTAAGCGCATCCCAATCAAATGAATCAGACGCAGCGAGTGACACGCGTATTGCACGGGACAAATTTAACCGAGAGAAAGCGTCCTGGAGGACACGAACATCAAGACGCCATGGGTTCTCCGAAAAAGAAAATGGAATTTTCAGTTCTAAGAAAATCAGACGATGGTCAGAGATGTACACAGGCGAAGGTGGGATGGAGGGAGCACGTAAGTTGGAGACAAACGTCTCTAAGGCATGTGGAATATAAGCCCGGTCGAGTCTGCTGGAGGAGTGTCCGCGGCGCCATGTCCAAACAAAAGTATTCCCGTCCATGACATTATGCGCATCCAGCAATGAAAAATGCTGGACAAGGCGTCGCAGCTCACGTGAATTCCAAACAGACCAATCCCAGTCAGGACCTTGTACATCGCATCGCTTATTTAGCGCACAGTTAAAGTCTCCAATTAGAATTACATGACGACCGTCTAGGAAAAGAACATCCAAATTTCGAAAAAAAAGAAATTAGACTGTCCGGTTTGTGCAGGCGCATACACACATAGTACCTCATTCGAAAAAACAAGTAGGTACATTCTAGAGCAATAATTTTACCGACGCCGTCAGAAACAACGTGGTGATCTCTCAATAAAGCCTGATTAAATATAATGAAGCCTTCTCCCGTAAAACTAGTTGTAGCAAAAAAAATAGAAATAACACTTAAACTTTTGTTTAAAAGCCCTAACGTCGGATAGAGAACAGAAATTAGTTTCCTGCAGGCATAAAACATCGCAATTTGCAGCACGGGCTACACTAATCACCTCGGCCTGCTTTACCGGACTGCGAAAACCTTTTACGTTGAAGGAAGTAATATTCAATGCGGTAGCCATCGTAAACAATAAAGACAAATATGGATACTAAACTCACAGTTCTGACAGACGCGGGAGCGGGTGCCCCGCAAGCAGCTCAATCACTTTTTACGACCAGGCGACCCACCGGAAGCGCGGGGCTTCCGGGGCCACATCGAAGTCCCCAGGGAACTTTTGTCTCTGCTGGGGGCCTCCGAGTCGCTGCTGGATATTCGGTGGCGCTTGGTGCCGAGGCTCTTCAGTGAAGGTGGCACAAATGCGTCAAAACTGTCCCAGCTGATTTCACTTGGAGTGCTGTCGGTGTCTGTCTGCAGGGCCGTGTCACTCCTAGTGCTGCTCGAGTCCTCGTTGATGGAAACCTCGTCACCTTGGGAAAAAGTCTCTTCAATGATAGGAGGACTAACAGAGGACTGGGCAGCCATGGGGTGAGCAACAGATATCACGTCAGCATCTGCGACGCGTTCGCCGAGTGACGCCTCCTCTGGTGAGGGCTCGACCTGTGGTTCTGCGGGAACCACTACGGGTCACGTGCCGCTAGATGGATCATCCGCACCTTGAGGGGCTGCCTGGTCGGGGCTGGTTGGAAACGCTGTGGGCGTTTGGTGCGGCGTCTGGTGTGGCGTTGTGATGCACCCAACTTCGTCCTGGCAAATATCCGGGCCTGGCGTCAATGATACGACGACCTTATTCTTGCCCGATTGAAGTGGCGGGTAATTCTTGGAGGCCGCCTGGAAATACGACGGCCTGATGGTGCAGGCGACGGTGGCATGCGGGTCACCACAACGGTGACACGGCAGCAAGCAGCCCTTCCCGTCGTGGCCGTAAACACCGCACCTTCTACAAAACAGAGCTGTGCAATTCATGCGGAAGTGCCCACTGTCTCCACATCGACTGCACACTCGCTGGATCCCTTAATAGTCACAGGTCACTCGATGGCCAGCGCCCTTGAGGTTGTTGGGCATCGGCGACGATGTCTTCATTTCCATCCGGACAATTCGCGTCCCAGTGGTCACGGTTGGGCGCGACCCCATGAGTTCTCTGTTGGTGTGCAGCACCTTCCCATAGGGAGACAATGCTTGCGTGAGAACCTCGCTGGAGACGTGGCACGGCAGGAACAGAACGGTGACTTGAGTGACTTGGGGTCCCAAGGGTACGACAGCAACGCGCTCTCCTCTGATGATGAGGTGGGACGCGTCGATGATTTGAGCCAGAGCGGCCTCACTGTTAACAGTGACTTGGTAATTCCGGTTTCAAAAGTGCTGTACACAGTAGACCTCTCCGATTCTCACTATTCAAGACGTCGTGTCAACGACGTCTTCGGGACTAGTCCCCTCGGGGACGACTACTTCAAAGACTAGCGCCTTCTTTGGGGGCTGGCTTGCCATTACGGGTGTCCGTCAGCCCAGGGACGCCCTGAGACAACAAGGGTACATGAGCACAGGGCGAAGCTCGTTATAGCGGCACCCGTTTGTCCCTCACAGTAGCAATAGGTGTGTAACCAGTCTTACATTTTGACCTCCAAGGTGGTGCCGGTGGGAGATTTCTTCTGTGCGTTGTTGACCAATAAAAAAATTTCCAGCGGGCGCGTTAACTAAAAGCCAAATTCTCCTGCCTCTCATTCCCTCTTGGCAGCCATTTGCATGTACATTGGGCACTATCTGACAAGAAAAGGTTGCTACGTTATACTCGCTGGGCATAACCTTCTTGTGTGTGGGAGTATGCGTGTAACAATACATATTAATAATAAGTAGGCCCTTAACGGTTCAAGGGCGCACTGGGGGCCACATTTCACTATCACGTTCAACTCTTACCCCCAGTTCACACTGAAGAATCCGCTTTTTACAGTGAGCGAAATTCTCCGGCCGCCGAAACGCAGCGTCGTTCGCCCTGACGTGCCCCGTGCCACCGACTATGTCATCCACCACCGGGCGAACGCAGGATGGATGCCCCGTCACCCGGTTGTTGTCATGGCTCGCAAACGCCACCACAATATCCGGTGGTCTGGACTTCGATGATTCTCGTCCGCAGGAAGCCAGACGCAGTACTGCTTACTTTGCCGAGAAATCGCTGTCTTGTAATAATGCATGAAGAGCAGAAAACACCCGACGTCAGCGACGTTGGCGGGTTCGTCTTGCTTTGCAAGACCATGACAAGCTTGGTCTCGCCAACGACAAGCTCAGTCACCTCTTCCACGAAATAGGGACGTGAAGTAGACATAAAGTGGGTTAAACTCCCGTTTGTTATAGCACTAAGTTACATGCAGTGTGGCATGACAATTGAGTAGGGCTTGGCCGCCATTTTTCGAAATTACTTGACTAGAGCTCCTATGGGTCCGTGGTGACTGATTCGCTGGGTACGTATTTGGCTCGGTACGTCTTGGTGCGCAATGCTCCTGTACCACGAAAATTATCGTAGACCTTTTCTTTTGCGATTTCCTGCTTAGAAGTTCAGTAGGTTTCCAGTGACGATTCCATTAGCATTGCAATCTTCCACATGTCTCTCTCTGTTTCCTTCGCCTTTTTCTTAACCAATGTTTCCTTCTGGCTTGGTATTCTGCTGTTGCAAAAACACTTGCTTGACAATTTTCGAGTTTGCTTTCTTCATTTATTATCAACATTTTTCCTGTGCAAGTAGCTGAAAACTTTCTTATTCCAACGCTCCTCTCCAATTTTTCTCAAAAGCTCCTCAAATTCTATCTTGCTACTAGCTTGCCTGCACTCAAACGATGTCCATTTTATGTCACCGTGCACCCCCTGGTTTGGGGTATTCCCGTGTGCTCCCAAAGCAAGCCTACCTATGCCACGTTGTTTAACTTGCAATCTTGCTTGAAGTTCCCATTTCATGCTCAAAATCGCATTGCCAAGCGTCAAACCTGGGACCATAACACCGTTCGAAATCCTCCTCACAACGTCATTCCTATTGTAGTTTCACAGTGTCGTATTTTTCATTACGCTTGCATTGCTGTTACCCTTATTCATTACGTATTTTTCGTGCTCTTAGGTACTCAGTCCCGTTATTTGTCCATACGCCCAAATATTTGTATTTATCCACTATTAATAGCGTGACTTCCTATATGTTATCCTCACTGCCTTTGTTATCATAAAAATCATGATTGCCTATTTTTCATTGTTCATTTTCATTTTTCATTGTTATGTTCATTTTTCTCACTACGTTGACGCGTTGGTGGTCCGGCGCTGCTATGCACGTGCCTTGACAATGATACAATATGATATCATTCTCCATAGTGGCCCTGGTACACGGCGTGTCACTTTCATGGGCACTTCGCCACTGTATTTGCTCTAGGCATTCTAGGATAGTTTAAAGCAGCCGCTGCTACGCACAATGACGTTCGTTTGTTCGCTGCGCGGTTTCGGTATTCACCGAATACCGAAACGAGGCTAGCATTGGTGATTTATGTGTTTGTTTTTACGTCCCAAAACCAACATATGAACATGCGAGATGCCGTAGTGCTAGGTTCCGGAAATTTCGACCACCTGCGGTTCTTTAACGTGCACCAAAATCTAAGCACATGGGGCTACAGCGTTTTCGCCTTCAACGAGAATGCAGCCGCTGCACTCGGGATTCGATCCCCCGAGCTGCGGGTCAGCAGCCGAGTACCATAGCCACTAGACCACCACGGCAGGGCTCGAGGCTAGCATTTGAGAAGTCGATGCACACAGAAAGTGCTTACGCTGCCGCGTTCTATTTTTAATGCGAAGTTCCATTTTGAAACTTTCTAAATTTCATTTTCTATGAAAGTTGCCAAGGTTGCCGCTTTTTTGTATGAAAGTTGCCAAGGCTGCCAAGATTGCCACTGATTACACTAGTAATGATTAGGCAGTTAAGGGAGGAATAATAAAGAACCAGACTTTTTTTCAAGTAAAGTAAATTTTTATAGGTATTGAGATAAGTACAAGAACAAACAAATGGTTTATTTAAAGCTGCCATGCGCAAGGTTATGCAGTGTGATGTAGCCAACACAATCACTTAACAGCTTATTCTAAAGGCACTCATTTACAATCCCGTCTGTATGGAGAGGTCAAATTCCGCTTCTTCGTGATTGCTTCCGCATAAGCCTCATATTCATTCCTGCATTCCTTGTCTAAACTGCTGTATTCAGGGCGGCCTCTTACTCGAAGTTCATTCCACACGTTATAATCATCTGTAAAGAAGCATGAATTGATTTTAAATGACACGTTTTACATGAAATACATCCTATGTTGTCGTTTCAAGATTGTCGTAGCTTATTTTATTCGGCAAAAACGTCAATACGGCGCTTATTCCTTACCACTAGTGCACAAGACCTGTTCATTTTTCGTTTGGCATTGTACAGTCATCACGTGGTTTTACAGGTCATTGTAGTGATTATTCGTGTTATACTTTCTAGCAAACAATCAATTGAATATCGCACCATTCTAAAAATTCAAATGTAAATTTTGTCATTTTCTCCAAGCAAGGCCTTTTTTCATACTCAGAGCAATATTTTTCTTGTTGTCGGGCTTGCGCTTAACCTGAGGGAAACCGAAGCACCTTCGAACGAGCACGCGCACAACGAAGGTTACACACTTGACCCTGTTTTAACCGCGGAACTCTTCAAGCTTGGCAACACTACAGGAGGCGTCGGCACAATGCACACCTAACTATGACGTCGTAGCACAGTTGCTTAACAGTGTTTTGTACGGCTGCACTTAGTTTGTCAGGGCATCTTAACAGCAGCTCATGGTTCTTGCGTAGGCATGCCTTCTGCCTGCGCGCTGTACGTTAAGCTGTCTAAGGTATGACCTAAACATGCTGCAGTTTTGCCCGTACAAAACACGTGGCAGAAAGAGGAGGAAGAGGCAGGCACAAACAAGGGGACAATAGGAGGTTAAGTTTCAAGTATAACAAAATAAAATTTACTGGCAAGGAGGGATTTGAAATTGGGTACACATGGTGCGAACGCCAGCGTCCAAATGAATCGGTTAGCGAGACTGACTAACAGAACAAGCAACTGTCAGAACCATATGATTACGCTGCTCAGAGTGAGATAACGAGAATAACACAAAAAACAGAAAGAAAGATCTACATAAAAGGAAAAAAGAGAGAGCAGGCAGAAAGACAATGAAATACCTGAAGAAATAGCCAGAAAAAAGATGTAAAAATAAAAATAAAGAGAAATACATGCAAAGATACCATCAACTTGGTTTTGCACGGCTGAACTCTCTTTAAATGCTCATTCACTTGTTTATGGACTAAGCTGGCTAGCTCTAGGCTAGTCTGGACTGGTAAGCAAAGCATGGTTCCTCAGCGCCGCAGTTTCTTCAAGTGTGCACCACTAGTGCGATGTTGGCCAGAATGCTGTTTTCGTTTCATAGTTACTTACGCCAATAATTGTAATTCTTTACAGGCACCTAAATTTTCTCTTCCTAAACGTTTGTAACCATCATCCTCATCACTATCAGCCTGAGTACATCAAGTAGAGAAAAAATACTCTATCCTCACCAGCTCACCTGCTTCTGTGCATGCTGCGACGATATTATCCTCGCCAACATCAGAACCCCCTCTGGCCGTCTAACTTTCAACATCTACTTAGTGGACTTCTTTTGCCTTGAATGAGAGTTTGTTGCTCTGAATCACCAACTGTTATTTTCGCGTCAGGCTTTATGCTCTGTCCAAGCCCATTTCTTCGTGGTGGTTTTCGACTAAGTACTCTTTGGCATATTTTTGTTAGTTTACTCATTATTCGCTTTTCTCAGCTCTTACGGGGTCACCTAGTGTGATTCATCATTCTGCGGCCTGCTAGATTGCGTGCAATTCAAGTTCAACCTTTTTCACAACATACCGGGTTTCTGACCTGAAGATAAGCACGCGCAAAATGCAGCTGTTAAAGGTATAGCTTTTTTACAGAAATGTACGTGACGTGTACACGCTTCTGAGTATTGTACATGATCGACTGCTTACACGATTTCAAGTATTTGTGTTATTTTAGGGACAAAGCTCCTTAGGGTCGAGAAATGTTTCCTGTTCATCGGTGTGAGACGCTTGGCACATGCCCGCTCTAGAGCGGGTATGTGCCACAGTGGATGCGGGACGTGAGATGGCGGTACTAGGAGTGTTCACTAGAGTGACGCACAGGCGGATGCATGGATGGACGGATGGAAGAGCAGACTAGCAGACAGACGGACGAATGGATGAATGCGCGGACGGGCGGATGGATGAACGCACGAACGGATGGACAGATGGATGGACGTGCGCATAGATGGACTGACAGACCAGCAGATGGACGGACAGACGAATGAACGCACGGACGGATGGACGGATGAACAGGCAGAAGGCCGCTTCGCTCCACCCGTCATCATTCACTCCGTGGATATGCTGTGATTTTTTTATTTACGTTCTGGCTACTATTAAATTACACTAGATGAAAGAGATCGCGAGATGGTGGCCTTTTTCTTCGTCATGCAGGATTGTTTCTACGCATTCAAAGTAATTTCCTTAGAACCATATAATGCCCCGGCAGCTTTTGAACGAATGACGCATCTTTTTTTTTTCTTTCGTGGTAAATGAATCAGATGCCTGTGTTCCCTTCATGGCATATTCATCACTTCACCGACGTTAAAGAGCCATCTACACAATGTCTCCGCCATACTTGGTGAGCTCTTGTGGAATACCGCTGAATCCCGACCAAGCAATTGAGACGTTTGACTGAGAACGTCGCAAATGTCACCCATCCTCTCACCGATATTCTCAAGGACACTCCTTTCAGCTAGTGACTACAGAAAGTTCAGAAATTTTCAAAGCCTAGGAACCGCATTGTTGTCCGCCAATTCCGGGTCATCATGATTCGTCTTGGGCGGAAGTTCAAGCTGGTGAAAGTAGCCACGCAACTGTAGCCATTTTGTTCGAATGATAGCGCGACATTATGCATGCATTTGCTTATCCTAGCCGCCTGGATAAACCTCAGAGCGCAATTACTCGATGCAGAACGCGAGTACCTGTGAAATACTGTCAGGGTTCTTGTTGGACCCACGACCACCAGCCAAGGAATTTGATCGATTCACGAATGCGCACACACACTCAAACACACTTACACACGCAAACACACACACACATACACATCTATTTACACTAAAAATGAAAATTCTACAGAGGCTTAGCCAAAGTTAAGCTCTTCTGTGCTGTTCTATCCTAATTGCATGCCTTAAATAAAAAAATTGGCAGCATATCCACGGAGTGAATCATGGAGAGTGGAGCGAAGTATTCGTCAGTCCATTCATTCTTGCTTCTGTCCGTCCATGCGTTTATCTGTGTGACCGTCCATGCGTCCATCCGCTCGTCCGTGCGTGCGTCTCTTCGTGCGTCCATCCCTGCGTTCGTCCATGCATCCGCCCCTGCGTCCGTTCATGCGTCCATCCATGCATCTCTCTGTGTGTCCGTTCGTCTATCTATTCAACACTCCAAGTACCACCATCTCGCATCTTTTCATCATATATTCCCCATACAGAAGCACCGCCATCCAGCGGACATTCCAAGGACTAAACGAGAGGTGGCACACGCACACTTTCTTACGGCTTGCGCATTGGGTCTACTTCTTACCCTTAACCACCACGAGTTCATGGTATATACTAGTTCACTGTATTCATTGCACTGCGGCCCAACGCTCGCTAAACCTTTTTAAAATCAGGGAGGTTACGCCCGGTGAGTATAACGTAGCAACCTTTTCCTGTAAGATAGAGCTCAATGTACATGCCAATGGCTGCTAATGAGAAATGAGAAAGAGGAGAATTCGGCTTTTACATTCTTACGGCTTGCGCTCCGTATATACTTCCCACTGTGGCAACTGCGGGTCCCGCGAGTCTCAGTTTGGTAGCAGGCCCCCGTCCTAGGACCCATCGTCGAACAAGTCAGATGAGATGCTCGTAAAAACGACAACAATTTATTTACTTGGTTAGTAACTGATAAGAAGAACGAGAAGTCAAAAACTGTACATGAGAGCTGTTGAACTGTAGAACTTGAAAATACACAAGAGTCTTCCGCTTATATAGCGCAGCGTTGCCAACCCTGGGCACATTGTCCGCGGCTTCAGCCGATACGGCGCTCCATGGTCTAGGTGCTCCACCCACGAAGGAAAGACACGACGCAATGCATGTGGAGAGGGCACAGTCTACACGATGCCCAAATATGGTCACAAACGCGCTGCACTGACGTTTTCGCACATGTCACCAAGGTTCGGGCACGTCCGATTATATTGATTTCAATATTCTTCTGGCAGCTGGGTGAGGTTCGAAAAACCGGCTGTCAGTACACGTGTCAAATTTGCCTGACTGTTTGGGTAGGACAATGTACTGGTGGGCCAGCATATCGTCAAAATATGTCCCCCCCCCCCCTCATTCAGCCGATCCTATGGATAAAGGGGGGGGGGGAAGGAGGAGTAGTCAACAAGTCCCTCGTCGCCGATGCGGGCTTTCGCAAGGGCTGCAGCCGATAGTTCATTATTCTTTTCTTCAACCCCACATTCCATTCCTTGTTGTTTGCTAGAAGCTGCGGCTTAGCTGTGAATATATGGGGCTCTGGTTCTCCTCACAAGGTGCAGCCACAGCCAGTTTGGTTTTTGCTTTCAGCCCGAACTGCAAATACTCTGCTAGTTCCGAGTTTTCCAGATCCTCGGTGACCTCGAAAATGGCCCAGCTGCTGTCTTGTCCGCCTCGAAAGCCTTGCTGGCAGCAAACACAATGGCCTTTCTTGAGGCAAGCTCACAATGGCCTCTCTTGGCTCGTGCATTTTCTTTGCGCGAACCAGTCCCGAACCCATCGTTCAGACGATAGTTATAGCGCGAGAACAAAACGACGACACAGAGACAAGAAGGACACGAAAGACACGAGCGCTAACTTCCAACTGAGTTTATTGCGCAGAGCACGAAATATATAGAGGAGACAGTGATCATGGCACAAGAGCAGAACATGAGTAAAGAAAACCAAAAACAAACAACACAAATACAAAGGCACTGAAAAACAGCAAAGGAAAACCTAGAAGAAACCGAACCAGAAAGGTAAAGCTACCTGCCCGCACCGAATCCCTCGAGGAACCTGCGTTCCTTCTTGGACTAAGCCACGGAGGGCGTGCTAATCCAAGGCACCTGTTCGCGTTACCTGCCCACACCGAATCCTTCGAGGAACCTGCGCT